TCCAATTACGCGTTCTTCTTCCGATCCAGATGTTAGTCGGGTGTGATCTTCGTGTTGATAAAATTTTTGAGGCTGCATGGATAACCCTGTTGAGCTTGCCTTTAAAATCATTTCATGCGTCGTTAGATGAACTTCGCATCGGCAGAGCCGAGTCAACGGGTTGTGTTTTGTCGCAAAAGTTGTAGTGGCCAGTAATATTGCATTGAGACTGCTACATTTAACGACAATGCTGAGATAACACATAACCCCAAGTTACTACTAAGTGATCGCTACTATCTTTACTGGAGGGTTGTATGAAACGGACTTAGCCATCAACTCTTCATTAGTCAGGATTAAGTCCAGAAGTGATGGTTTGGTTGAAATCGCGGTGTCTGCATGGTCGATTTGCATACTTATGCTCATGAACTCAAGAAGTCTTGATTTCAAGGAGGATGGCTAACTGGAGACGTCGATACTACTGAATGCACATTGAAATCCCGCAACACAAGGTAGTGCGGATGCATTTCTGGAACAGCATAGTGGAGGGCGCTTAAAAGAATGTCATCACTCCTTGGAGGAGTTTGGGGCCTGTAGACATATGACAAAAGGTAAGCATCACGCGAGCTTTCTCGAGACCCACCATAAAGACCTGCTAGTTGCAACTGGTATAATAACAAGGGACTGTTCTGTAAGGACCTCACATTTCAGGTAATATCGCTGGCTTACGGCAAAATCGCGATCGTGAGGTGGACCATCATTCCGTATGACAGACAGTTCGTTGAGTTAAATATCTGGATCTAGCATACCATTTGATAATCAAGTTTCAGGTGTTGATTCATGCTGATGGCGCAGTTCTGGCAGCTTAGAACAGAGCTCTAGAGTGTTTACATAACAGTATTGCATTTGCTGAGATAAGTCGAAGCGTGGGTTCATATAGTCGAATTTGATCTTATGGTCTTCTGTGTCGATTTGCATGTATGCTTCAGAGAAATATTTTGTTTAAGGCAGGAGCCTAGTTGTATTCTTTGATCATGGACACCAGTTCGAGGGAAAATACGGCGGCTTGTTTGGATGAGAGTAGAACTTTATGTATAAGTAGTAGGGGAATTTATTGAGTCTAACTGCGACGAATCTACACTAAAACTTTGTGTCAGAAACCGTTGACACGTTACCATGTAGTGTGTACGCACCGCAACCTTCTTCTGCTTGCACAGTACTGTCATGGTATGAAGTGAGAGCCGTGAATCTATTTCTAATTTACCTATCACCATGATCATCAGTTCGCTGAGAATACTTCCAACGTCCTTACATACTGAGGAAGAACAGGCAGATGGAAGTTCAAAATGTGGAAGCTGTATTTGGATTACCAGCTTCGTCTTTTGGACAATGATACGGTCATCCGCAAGTTAAGTCGAAAATGTACTCTATGCACCCATGAAGGGTAAAAATTCAGCTCCAGCACAAGCGCCTCGGACAGAAATCTGACGTGGTAATTATCATTGAAGTAATTTACACATCAGCTATTGAGTGACCAATTTTTGAGCAGCCAAGAAATATGATAAATAGGGGACATCTGATGCTCCGTAGGACCGTGTACGGGCACACATGGTTTTGTGCAAACGTTTGGTCGAGGAGTTCGATATATATTTGGACAACGCCCTGCGGAGGGGATGATTAGCAACATTGAGTATTGTCGACGCAAATTTGTTTCCTGTCCTTATGCAGTTGGATCCAATATGTCAACGAGTTCCAGCCTTGAAATACCACAACATGGGAATGGATGTTTCACTAACCTGGTAATCAGTTTCAGGGAATTATTAAAAAGACCAGGGAAGATTACGGGAGAGCAGGTCCAGTAGGGCAATACGCATGCAGTGAAAACAAATGGAATCGGATAACTAGCTATGGCGGAAGTCGGGAGACGATTAACATAAAACAAGTCTCCTGACTTTAGAGACTATTTCATTTACATGAGGACACCACACAAGACAACTGCTCAGTGTTACTTCTAAGTATTGAATTGATGCGGATGACTACACGCCACCATCGATGCAAAGTTGTGGTCACTGCGTTAGGATCTGCTGGTTGCGACAAGAGAACATCTTTTTATTTCATAGTGTTCAATGATAGACGAGATTTGGACCAAGCAGTGGAGTTGACCAGTAGGGTTTGTAATCCGACCGATGAATCTATGATTGTATGATGGGCACCCAAGACTGCATCATCTGTGTACGTCGATAAGATGGTTTCATCTAGAACGGGGATTAACGTGAGTGGAAAATAAAAATGGGGACAGAATGATTCCATGAAAAACGCAAGGACTCAAAGTGAGTGATAAGAAGTTATCTCCAAGAACCTGGTAAACTGGGTGCGCCAGGTAAAATAATCCATCAATAGAAGACAACATGAAATTAAACTACAGAGCCGAGCAGATAACGCAAAAGCATTTCACGATAAACGCAGCGTAAAGCACTGTTACAGTCCGGGAAACAGATGCGTGTGGATTTCTTCCAAGTATCCAGTGCCGAAAGCACAGAATGTACAAGGTGTCTAAGATGAACCTTGAACTTCAATGTGTAACAAGATGAGGGTCATTAATGAGTAGTAGGGGGATTTGTTGTGTTTTAGAGGATTCGTCGCAGCTAGACTGAGCCAGACAGCTGGACGGCTCTTTAGTCCTAATGGGACTCGTCAGTTGCGCGCACTAGCGGAATCCTGCCGGATTCAAACGCATGACCTTACTTTTACCAGCCAGCGACTTATGCCACTGAGTAATGGGTGAGGTCGGTAGACCGTCATGACTGATATCTAACTGAGATATAGCGCGATTTGTCCTCCACTGTCGTACATGACAGAAACGTGCAGAGCATGCGGCTGATCTCCAGAACAAGGAGTTCCTTTGTAAGCCGCCCCCAATAAAGGCGGCATGTAAACTGCTAAGGCGATTAATGATTAGTGGTGGGTCTAAATGGGTCTGATCGAACACTCTTCCAAGGCAGCCTCTGAAACGTCTTCAAAACAATCGATCTACACGCGATTGGCTGGTTTTTGCAGTTCACACCTTTTGGCCCCAGCGTGATGCTTGCACTCCGCCAGTTGTCGGCTATCTTGCGTTGCTTTAAGCACGACGTGTGCAATTCGGTAAAAAGCTGCGCCTGGTAACCAGCACACTCCTTGAGGACGACAGGAGACAGTTTATCCAGACCAGATGATTTACTTGACCTCAGGTTAATAAATTCCTCGAGCTAATCACAGAATATGGACTGGGTGAGGGTAGTTGTAAATCAACAGACTCAATTACCGTTCCGGTCACGAAAATATTTAGTCCCATATGCAGAGCAGCCTGCGTGTCTTCGTTGGTTATTCCACTTAAATGTTTCAACATTTTTCGTATTTCTCCGCAAATGTTGTTTTCCAGTATGGTTTGAACATATTTATGGTTCAGGCGACGCAATTCGACTTTTATGCGGCAAAGTTTTGTGTTTAATTGTTTTTCCTTTGAGGCTGCTCTGTCGCTTGAGAAGTTGTGACATGAACCTGTCAGCATGAATAAACATTGTTTCACTGAACAGAATATGTGGAAGCAGAGGTTTAGGTACTTAGTGAAATGGCAACAATACTTCGATATGTGCGCAGTTTATGAAGCTTCTCAGAAAAGCATCGCCTTCGTTTAAAATTTCAGTCTTTGCAACAAGTTCGTCTACCTATAGATAACAGGGAATAGGTTTGTGGTGACATGATTAGAGCTCCCGAGCGGTGCTCTGCTACAGACGGAAATTTTTTTAGACTTAATAACAAATACTTCATCTGGGATTGCCGCTAGCCTAGTTGGAGATCGCACAATGTCCTTTGGTAGGAATTCGCTATGAACCTGGTGTTATGCCTGTTAAAACTGCTAGCAAATGTGCACAAAATATTATAGGTGTCCAAGATAAGCACAAGTAAATCGATGGCAAGTTTACAAATTCGTAGCTGGGACAGCCAGGGGAAATACGGTTGTTAGATGACAAAGCTGAGCGATAGCCTTTAAGGTATTATGGCTCGCATTTCCCGAGTAAACAGCTGATACATTGTCAGCCGTAGCGAAAAGCGCCTTCCATTGACGAACACTATGAAGTGTCGACGCAAGCGAACGCCAACACCAAAGTCTCATCTTGATAGAAAGGTGATCCATATGATAAGAGACAAATTTGTCAATTTTCAATAATGCATCTTTAACGTTAGCATGAAGCGAGATTTCATTTAGCATAATGATGCATGAATGAGAACAGTCAAGATAATTTATTAGTTTTGGAATCTAATTCTCAACCAATGATCAGATATTCGCACTGAGAGAAGTGGTATGCCTATACTCCTGAGGTATTCCTTCGCAGCGTAATCCACGCACGGTGCTTTCGTGACCAATTCCTTTGCATGTTTGATTCATTTTATTGCGTTTCGTATAGGTTCACCACGGAAGTGACAAATTCCTATGCGTGAAGACATGTAAAACTTTTAAAGCGTTGCAAGTGTGAACAATCATGTCGCCATTTGCAGAACAAACTATTAACTATTAAAACAAGGGCGTTCCGACATAGTGTGGAAAAGTGTGCTTCACACAAATAAAGTTGAAAGCTCCGCTATGCATTAACGCGAAGGTGGGCGGATAGTGAACGGCGCTATATCGTATCCAGTAAGTTAGTCACCTCAGTCGTTACCGTCCCCCGTAGTATTGACCACGGACGAGAAACATTCGGGTTGCTAGTTTTAGTCTTAAAGGAATGTGCATGGCTGACGATTCCTGAAAAGGATGAAACGGCCGTGCAGTGCATGTGCGGACGTGTGATGGCTGTCTGAATTGAGTTTCGATGTGATGAACTTCCACTTATACCTACCTGAGCTTCGCACAAGGAAATTTTATAACTTTGCGAACTGCGTGGCAGGAGTATGATCGAATTCTGATAGTGCTGATGCTGAGTTAGTGCTCAACACATGTGTATCCGAATGAATTACAGCATGGTCAATTCACCTTCTTTTTTCAGCAATCTGATGTATCCGCAAACTTGCTGTCCGACATACTATTCTCCTTCGTCGGTCTGTTTGAATTCGCCAACGCACAAGCAAAGTATACACGCACCCGGTACCTAATCTTCTACTTCTTTTACTATTTGGAAAATGCGGCTATGATCGGAGCGTGGTACGTCCACTTCACATACCCAGGAATGTGGTACTATCTCCCCTCGTTACTCGTGATAACGATTGGACAATTTCTCGGCCTCATCCTGCTCCAAGTCTACCTGTACATATATTCCAGAGCGAAAAGAAAGACTACGTTATGTGGACTATGTTTCGCACGGCAAGAAGAAGAACATTACATGCCGGTGGACGATGAAACCAAATCTGCGCTGGACCGAGGCAGTCTTGGGCGATTCGACTCAGAACAAACAAGCAGAGCCTTCATGGATCACGCCCATGCAACATCAATGCTAAGTGGTCACTCCGGAATGAGTGGAGGGATGGTAATGAAGTCTCACAAAGGCCTGTATGATCCGGTATTTGGTCAACAGATTACTCAAGCTGCTATTCCGAAGACCAAGAGACATGGGGCGAGGTCGAAGAGCAGAACAATGCATATGAGACCCAGTGAGAACATGTCGCTGGTGAGCAACAGTCGTTCGAACTTGACGGCTATGTCCAAAATGAACAGACAGCTTACAGAGACGGAAACACAAAGACAGCCAAGTTTCTACAAGTACCACAGTCGACAACGACACGAAATTCCAAACACACCAGATGAAGCCGACCCAGCATACCATATGGATACGGTTGCAATCAGCACTACGAATCGCAGGCCGTCGTCTTTACTACCGATAAGTAAGGAGGAAGCCATAGAGCAGGAGGTAAGCTCACAGCAACGCGAAAAATACCCGTCTGCACCAAATGAACTGGAGCAAGCGCGACATGACCGACACATGCAACGGACAAAACAAAGAAGCTCAAAAGTAGCGGAGATGGGACGAAATCACTATCACCCAGCTTCCGAAGCGTCCAGAAGAGAGCAGTGTTCACCAAGCATGGACTTCAAGGGACAAGACCGGTCCCACAGAGGGACCAGTCAGAGATGAAATAAGATACATCGTAATACAAGTAGTTGTCGAACGATGATTTTGTACATACACATATGTTTTGACATTATTGCTCCCGGGTCTAAGGTCGAGCAGACAAAGTAGAAACCTTACTCGACTTAGGACCGCAACATGCAATAAACATAGATACTGCTTGGGTGCGCCAGAACTCAGTCAGCCTGCGCTTGAATACATTCCATCGAGAACTATTTTTATGTACACTCTTTTTGTCTTAGAAACGTTGTCTATCACTCTGCAAAATGCTGAGATTCATACTATTGCAAACTTACCAAACGTGTCTGAAAACCAGAAATAAAATCACAGTATTAAGAAATGCAATTTCTGTTTTATAATAGTCAAATACAGGGTGCCACTAGAGCAAAGCAGAGAAGCGTAAGGATTGCAGATATGCGGCGATTTAAAACACGCCTGGAAAATGTGCTGCTACGTAGATCATGGACTCGTTGGGAATGGGTGTGGACTGAGACCCACCAACTGACGTGTGGCCACAGCGTAATGCCGCAACCGATTAATCCTGTCCGCTCCGGGTATCGGTAAGAATGGAACATTGTCAATGTCCGGAAAGGGCTGGTGACGGTAACGGGGCTGCTTCGGTCGTTCTACCCACTGGTTCCCGTTAAGCAAGTCGTTGTCAGACCAAACAGATCGAAGTGCTTCTCGATATTGCCTCACGATAGGGTGATCGTCCAACTGTGTGATATGATGAGGAGAAAAGTACGAAAAGAAAGAGATTTTGGATCGGTACAAAACACAGGTTTCGTATATCAAGTAGTAGGCTACGACGAGGCCAAAAGCATGTGACGGAAGGGTGAAGGAAGGTGAACGAACATCGCAATAGCATCTGCACCGAACATTACGGTCCAAATCATTTCATGAACTAAGATCCGTGCACCGAGATGCTTTGAAGCAGACTCTAAATTTGGTAGTCAGGCATCAAGCAGAAAAAGGTAGTCACTCAAGAACATTTCGACCGAAATTGAAGAAAAACAAGAGAAACAGGATGGTTTAATATATATTAGTTTCCGCGGTTGACTAATTGGAAAACCTTACGTAGGCCCTAAACGGCCCAGGAATCGGGATTAGAATTTAGATTAAGCGAATCGAAGGCAGTACTTAAGTAAATGTGGTGATGTTCGAACCAATGAAAAGTAGCAAAAATATAATCAATGCACTTTGTGATGGAGCAGAAAACAGTCGGATTTTCACTGGCTCGACGCTCAACGGGATCTGCGAGTCGTCGCAGTATAATGACTATAAGTAGTTTGGAGACTACTGAGATGAGACTCACACCACGACGGAGGTCCCTTTGGGTCTTTTCAACGTGAGAGTGGCAGTTAACAATCGCCAGTCAGTAGACACTTCTTTCTTGCCCCGAATAGTATCAAGCAGAAGGTAGACACCACTGAGTCATACCCATCCTTCAGCAAAGAGAGTAGACGGTCGTTGGGCCATGCTTCTTCTTCCAGTTCAGTAATACCAGCTAGTGTCGGATCACATCGGTGGTGAGACTTCTGACATCAACGTGTCAGGTGGGCTTAGGTGACCCACCTCAAAGCGCTCCAAAAAACATGACTGACAAAGGAATATCACTATCTTCTCCTCAAATGTTTCAACCATAGAAGAGTTTGACTGGCGTTCCCAATGACACTGGTCTTTTCCTTCTCCTGAGACTTCGTAGTACACAATTAGTTCTCGGACTCGGGAGACAGCCCAGTATCACTAGCGTTTTCTAAAGCTAAACAAGGACCCATAAATTCATCCAGTACTCGGATATCTCATGCTGCATAGGTAAACAGTCTCGAATGTCTTTTGCTGGTTCATGGAAAGTGATTGTAGTCGGTGTTAATTTGTCCAATTCATTCGATAGCCACGAATTACATTAAATTTCAGACTGGTATTACGGCTTTGCAAATTACGAATACACTTGATGAACAAGCATAGTTATCCGAAGCAGGAAGACTGAGCGTTATGTGGTCGCGTATGAGTACACGATGAGAAATGGGGAAAGTGCCCCAGATCGAGTTTAAGTCACTTATGGATAACCATGATGCAACCAGTTTTAATACCCATTTCACTATGTTGTGCGATGTGAGAATCTGCGTTGAAGGTTGCGCCGCTGAGACATCTTCATCCTCATGCTCATCCTCCTCCTCCTCATCATCATCATCGTCATCATCATCATCATCATACACGTTAGCTAGACGTGGAAAACACCTAAGCTATTGTGCTGCAATACATGAAAGAAAAGAAAAGGAACATGCAACAGACGCATGCCAGCTGAATCAGCAGTAACGGATGGACATCGTTCCAGAAATCTACCAGTAGGTATTGTGCCGCTAAAAAATTATATGACGCAAAATTTAGATATCTCGGCCTTCCTTAGTTCAGTAACTTTACCTCAGTAAAATGTTTACACATCATTTCCCATGTAGTAATACTAAACGATTTATATTAATTTATGCTACCTATCCATAGCATTATGAGGGCAATTCATTCACGCCGCAAAGTGGGTGTACCAATTGGCACCAAAGAAATTCAAATTTAACCGCGTTAGTGCAAAGAGATTTTCCCATACCTACGATAGTTATCGAGAGAATAGAAATAAATGTAAGCAACATCTCAGAACTGCTCGTCTCCAATACGAGCAGGGTTTAGCGGACTCGGCCGCAGCTAATCTCAAGAAGTTTTCGCTTACTTTAAAAGATGCAGCGGGGCAAAACTGTCTATACCAGCTGTATTGCGAGCAGACGGGACCCCTGCGCAAACTGACTATGACAAGGCTTGTATACTGAGTGATCAATATGCTGCGGTCTTTGCTCGGGAGAACTCTTTACCACAGGTTGAATTGGTTTCAAGAGTTACAGAGGATTCTTGCTTAGCTGTATTTAGCATAACGGAGACTCAGGTCTTCGAGCTACTGCAAGGCATTAATCCCTCTAAAGCATCCAGTCTTGATTCAATTCATCCGAAGCTGTGGCATGAACTGGCCACTGAGCTGAGTGGTCCGCTCACGTGCGTATTTTCAATATCGCTGGACAGCTGCAGCCTACCTTCGGAATGGAAGGAGGCAATCATCTGTCCGATTTTTAAGGGCGGTGACAGCACTCTACCCGCGAACTACCGGCCTGTCAGTTTGACAAGCGTAGTAGTCACGTTGTTTGAGAAAATGATAAGGGATTCAGTGGAGAACCACCTGAATCGATTCAACCTTCTCAGTGTTGCACAACGTGGATTCCGCAAAGGATTTTCATGTCAGACTAATTTACTTGTAGCTCGTGAAAGCTGGGCCGAAGCGGTAGACAGTGGCCACGCTGTAGACGTGCTATTCGTAGATTTCTCGAAAGCTTTTGACACTGTTCCACATCTTCGGCTCTCACTAAAGTTGAGATCTTACGGGATATCTGGTCGCGCCCTTCAATGGGTGTCTGCCTTCCTTGAGGGGAGGGAACAGTGCGTACGGGTGGGGCGTAGCCTTTCGCTCAGGCAAGCTGTCCTTAGTGGCGTTCCGCAAGGCTCGGTATTAAGGCCATTGTTGTTTGCGGTCTATGTAAATGACTTGCCGGGAGAGCTAGGGGTGTCATCATTAATGTTTGCTAACGACCTTAAGCTCTGGAATATTGTGGATATCCCGGGGGGTCCTGAGGCAATTCAGCGTGCCTTGGATAGACTCTGGGAATGGTCTATCTTATGGTTGAAGCCCATAAATAGGGCAAAGTGCTCTGTTCTCCCAATCGGAGCTGCTAATCCTCCCACCCGATATGTTCTCGGCGGTGGTGAACTCCCTGTTGTCACTCAGCAGGTTGATTTAGGAGTCGTACACGCATCAGCACTTCATTCTGGAGACAACTGGAAGAAGGCTGCTTGTCGGTGGTTTCGTATGTTGTGGGTTATCTGCCGCTCTTTCGGAATCTTAACGGCCAAGTTGTTTGTGAAGCTATTTTCGGCATTCGTCCGACCCCACCTGGAATATTGTATTCAGGCTTGTCCACCATGTCTTAACCGAGACAAAATGGACTTGGAGAGGGTGTTACGAGTGGGCACTCGGTTAGTGCAGGGTCTACGGGGACAGACGTATCCTGAACGCTTGCTCAGTTTGGGGATGTACTCCATGCACTACCGAAGGATAAGAGGGGACCTGATTCTCACTTATCGTATTTTGACGGGTAAGATTGGCCCGGACTTGTCAGGGCTTTTTAGTCCCGCTACGTTACCTAGTCTCCGCGGTCACCCACTGAAACTGCATAAACCACGGTCTGATAGGATTAGGACGGAAACTCGTCTATCGCGCCGAGTTATAGATCGCTGGAATTCTCTTCCAGATCACGTGGTTAGGGAACCTACGGTTAAGGGTTTTGCGCGCCAGCTCGATGCTCTTGGGTGGCAACAGCAAACCTTTCCTTTTTCCTAGCTGACTCACCTTCATTTTTCAGTTTTTTTTATTGACTCAAATATCTTGGTATTCCATTTGCTTAGCTCTTACCACTTTCTCTTTTGCCTCCTGCGTTTACTTTTTTCTCTTTCTTACTTCACGTAACCGACCCAGCAGGGACTGCTAGGGCAGGATACGTGGGCATTAATTGGTTGGACAGGGTGTGATGCGGTCTTTGTTTTAGGTCCATCAGTATTTCAAAGTTCGCCAACTCCTGGTTCAACGACCCGCCGAAGAAGGAACACTCACGGGATCTATCCTATCGTTCCAGTCCCGCTTGAACTTGAACTTGGACAACTGTGGGGCGTGGTCTGTTCACCGGCTGCCGAGGCCCGCTCACCTCTCGCAGATACAGGCGCCTAAACTGCTCAGGGTCATTCTTTTCACTCCTGAGATGCGCCAGACTGTACTACAACGGTGGTACGAGCTACGTGGAAACTTCCCGTACGAAGTCAAGATGCATCCAGACAAACCGCGGGAGGAGCGCAGGCAAATTCAGGGATGTAATTCCACGCCATTCAGCCGAGCCACGCCATCACTACCTATTACGCGACTTGTGGATATACCAAAAGACGAGTAGGCGCCGGCCCCTGTGGAGTCGGCGCAAACCACACTGGAACTACCCTACCATCTATGCCTTCAAGCCACTGCCCGCCAGCAGTTCATGTTAGCACGTGGAACTGCTTGTACACGAACGCTTTATCGCTACGGAACAAGGTGTCCGAAATCTCTTCCCTTGCGCTGGACACACAAGCTAAAGCTGCCCGGACGTTGTGGATGCCGAGGTAGCTATCCTGGGATACGTGCTCTTTCGAAACGATCGTGAAAGCGGCAAAGGCTGAGGCGTAGCTGTGTATGTATCGGACCGCCTCACATGCGTCCCTCTCAAATCTCCGGAACTACTATCTCTTCCCGAATCCCTCTGGATTCGCGTCCGCGGCTCTGGTTCCACCAGTCTCACCCTTGGAGTGGTTTATCGCCCTCCCTCAGCTGCGCCAGAATGGCTGCAGTGCTGGAACGCCGCCCTCCGAGCAGCTGCTTCAGATTTGGGTGCCCCCCTACTCGTCGCAGGTGACTTTAATTTCCCGGAGATAGACTTTACCTCTGGCCAAGCTCGCAGTCAGCACAGTCTTGATTTTCTTGCCAGTGTTCTAGAACATGGCCTAACCGAACACTTACAGCAGTACACTCGGTGGCGAGACGGTCAAGACCCGTCGAAACTCGGCTTGCTGCTCACCAACGAGCCACACCTAATTGACAACGTTAATTTGAGCGCCCCAGTTGGTGCAAGTGATCATGCAGTTATCAGTTTTCGTGTTGTGGCGAACGTCACGCTCAACGCTAAAGCACTGCCCATCAGGCTTAACTTTCGTCGAGCGGACTACGACGCGATCAAAGATTTCCTCTCACGAGTCGACTGGTCCCTGGCAGCACAAACCCCCACAGTCGACGACCATTGGAACTACATCGCCGCTCCAATCCACGACGCAATTAGGGCACACGTCCCCACAGTGCGCGCTTATGCGCCGAAACGCCACAGGCAACTTCAGCCTGCTACGCTTAGGCTGATCAGGGAGAAGAAGGCCCTCTGGGACAGATTCTTACTTTTTGGCGACTCTGATTCGCGAGCACAATGCTGTAGAGTGCGAAATTCCTGTATAGCAGCTGTTCGCCAGGACAGAAAAGCGTACCAGCTCTCTCTCGCTAAAAGCTTCGCCGATAACCCCAAGGTCTTCTTTAAGCATATAGCGTCTCTCACTAAATCGCGCGCTGCCGTTGGCAGCCTGCTCAGACCCGTAGGCAATACCACAACGTCGGACAAAGAAGCTGCGGAATTGCTGAAGACTCAGTACGAGTCCGTTTTCAGCACCTTCGCACGCAGTACAATGGAAGGCGCTAATTTTACCCCCATCGCTGCCAGACATCCCGTGCAGTTTACATCAGAGAAAGTCCTGGAGAAATTAAAAAAAATTAAGGACAGACAAATCGCCGGGTTTGGACGGGATCCCTCCCATTTTTCTACGTGAGTGCGCTAAGGTACTGGCCGAGCCGCTTGCCTTACTGTACAGCCGCTCTTACACCAGTGCCGAATACCCGAATGCTTGGAAGCAAAGGGTCGTAACGCCGATATACAAGGGTGGTGACAGGACAAACCCCTCTAATTATCGCCCGATAGCACTGCTTCCCACTGCCTCCAAAGTAATGGAGAGCATCATAGACGATTTCTTGCGCTGCCATTTAGAAAGTCTGTCCTTAATAGCCCCGTAACAGCACGGGTTCCGCAGAGCTCACTCGTGCACCACGAATCTTCTCGCAGCCCTTGATTCCTGGACTGCAGAGGCAGACAATCATGCTCCAACTGACGTGGTTTACATGGATTTCTCAAAAGCATTCGACCGGTCAATCACGCACTGCTGTTGAGTAAACTGCCGAGTTTGGGGATCGACCAGCAAACAATCTGCTGGCTAAGTACCTACCTGTCTGGCCGCACCTACCGAGTTCGTGTAAACGGCGCACTCTCCAGCGCTCTGGCTGCGACGACCGGGGTGCCCCAGGGATCCATCCTCGGGCCCCTGCTGTTCAATTTGTTCATCAACGACCTCCCATCCTGTATCAGCAGCCACATACTGCTTTATGCGGACGACGCTAAGATATGGCGACCTATCCACAGGCCAAGTGATCAGGCACTTCTCCAGACAGCTATCGATGCTGCTTATTCTTGGGCCTCGAAAAATTCGCTCCTTTTTAACATCGACAAGTGCAAAGTCATGCACATTGGGCAAGGTGTGGCTAATCCGTACAATATCGGCTGTGTGCATCTTAAAGCCACATCCCAGGAACGCGACCTGGGGACCATAGTATCCGCCGACCTGAGCCCGAGCACCAATGTAGCTACACTGGCGCGAAAGGCTAGCGTTCGCCTGGCCCTCCTTGGACGTGCACTAGGGTCTTTCGGCCGGTGCCCGAGTGGTCGGCACGTTTGCTTTCCAACCATAGGGTCACCGGTTCGAATCCGCGTAGGGGTGGGCGTCCTCGCGGTATACTCAGCCCGCGCGCGACTAGTGGTGGTCGCGCGGCAGCGAAGCGTCGTTACGGCGTATAAGCTGACACATTTCATTTTCATTTTTTTCAGGGTCTTTCCCTAGAGAGACATTTGTCCGTCTCTATAGCACTTTAGTACGTCCGCTGCTGGAGTACAACATACTTGTCCAGCCGCCGTACCTGAAGAAGGACGAGGCCATGCTGGAAACTGTACAGCGCAGAGCCACTAAGAGAGTGGATGGACTATCCCACTTCTCGTATGAGGAGCGTCCGTTGAAATATCGCAGGCTTCGTGGCGACCTTATCTTAGCTTATTCCGTCCTGACTAATAACAGGCACGCAAACGCAGGATTGCTGGTCCGCGCTCGTACAGATCATCTTCGAGGGCACTCACTCAAACTGATGACTCGTAGCAGTCGACTTCTGTGCCGAAGAAACAGTTTCAGTGTGCGTATTGCCTTCGCTTGGAACGCCCTCCCTGAAGTTGTTGTCTCAGCGCCCAATACGGAGGCCTTCAAACAACGCCTAGACGCTTGGCTCTTACCTCGCTGGTCTTCCACGTTGCTAAGATCTGGCCATTTGCCAAGCTAACACGCGGCGTTTCTATCATTTTGCTTCTATCCAACTTTGCCGAATTTACCTACACCACTCTCTTGTTCCAGGTATCCACGTTCCCACAGTCAACTCGCTGAATTCTTGTGCTGAACACCACTACTGCGTCGAGACCCACAACATCTGGTACCTACCGACGAGATCAGGACCTTGCCGTAAGATCCCGAGGCAGAACCACCGAAAAGCTACGCTTACTCGTTCTGCGCAAACCCGTGAAACCCGTGAATCTAAGAGTCTTCCACTGTTTCACCCTACACTGGAGGCAACTGGAAGCAGGCGAATAGTAAAGTGTTCCCGATGTATGGTTTATCCGTCCTTCTTTCGGGACACTAACAGCTGATATGTTTGTGAAGCTCTTCTCAACTTTCGTACGACCTCGCATAGAATATTGCGTCCAAGCCTGTCCATGGTGCCTTGTCCGAGACA